CTCTACCTGGAAAACATTATTGGAAAACTTAGCCCTATAAATACGCAGAAATGATGACTTAATCGGATATCTGACGGCCCAACTGCATTTAAGTTATCCCTAACTAAGTTTGTGACATGAGCCCTCAGACCCACGTGCACTCACTTTCCCTCACCCATGCCCACTACCTCATACATATTACTGGTCCCTAATAGAGTCCTCGTGTCCACCGGGATACCCCGGAAAATCTGAGACCTCATTCTTAATATAGGGTTCGAAGTCATATGCAGCGCATTGCGGTCTACAGACCACTCGATTAGTCCGTCCTTATACTTTTCTGCTACCGATGAAGAAAAGCTGGGGTTACTACCGCTACACAATGAACAATAAGAACAGTACGAATCACACTCAGGAGAAGATGACCTCGTCCGGTTGCCGCCAAGACCGCACAGTTTGCTGACAAACATTCACAATGACCTTCGTGACATTAAGGCCAAGCTGTCCGTCATGGACGCTAAGATGAATGCGGCCTTGAAATAGCAATCTTCAGAATCAATTTGTGTACCGCCAGTCCAACCAGAGTGCCCTTTACCCTCGCCCATGACGACTGTGGAGGAAATTGATGCCTTTGAGGAAAACCTCTTGGACACCAAATATTGGCAGCAGGCGGTACGATTTTTGCTTCTTCTAACTATCTCCTTATTTAGGTTGCCTTCCTCTAGCGTACGCAAAGCACGACCTCGTCAAGGAGTTCATGAAACTCCTCTTCACCAGCCGTCTGCTCGCCCACTGGCCTTTATGGGAGACGAAATTTTCAGTGTACAAGGGCGTAGTCTCCTCACTATAAAGTTAATGCCCGTGGCTGTCCCGTACTACTTCCATCAGAGGACACGGTAAGTGTCATCGTATGTACTGTCTTTAATGTCTAATACTTTCTTAACTTCTTCTCGTACAAGCAGGTAGCCGTTCACATGACGGGACTAGGTGCAGCCAGTTAGGCCACCTACTGCTTAGGAAGCCCGCAGCAAAGTGCGAGATAATCGATACGACGTGGTTTAGTCGAAGCAGTTCAGTCTTCAGTCGGGGCTACCCTCTATTAGAAGCCCACGCCGTTCACCTGACGGGGCTAAGTGCA